GCATTTCTATATATCAATAACATTCAAGCTGACAGCAAAATCAAGAACGCAACTACATTTACAATAGCCATCAAAAAAAATAAAAAAACAAAAAACCTAGGAATACATCTTACCAAGGAGGTAAAAGATCTCTACAAGGAGAACTACAAAACCCTACTGCAAGAAATCATAGATGATGCAAATGGAAAACCATGCTCATGGGTTGTAAAAATCAGTATCATTAAAATGGCCATACTACTCAAAGCAATCTATGGATTCAACACTATCCTTTTTTTATTTTTTCCCCTGTTAAAAGCCAGAGTTTTTGTTTTTGTTTTTTTATTTCCATAGGTTATTGGGGAACAGGTGGTGTTTGGTTACATGAGAAAGTTCTTTAGTGATGATTTGTGAGGTTTAGGTGTACCCATCACGCAAGCAGTATTATACTGCACTCAATTTGTGGTCTTTTATCCCTCGCCCCCTTCCCATCCTTTCCCCGAGTCCCCAAAGTCCACTGTGTCATTCTTACGCTTCAACACTATTCCTATCAAACTACCAACACCATTTTTCACAGAATTAGAAAAAAACTGTTCTTAAAGTATATGGAACAAGAAAATGGCACAAATAGCCAAACCAATCCTAAGCAAAAAGAATAAAGCTGGAGGCATCACATTACCCAATTTCAAACTATACTTTAAGGCTACAGTAACCAAAACAGAATGGTCCTGGTATAAAAACAGATACACAACCCAATGGAATAGAATAGAGAATCCAGAAATAAAGCCACACACCTACAGCCATCTGATGATCCTTGACAAAGTTGACAAAAAATAATCGAGGAAGAGACTCCTTCTTCAATAAATGGTGCTAGAATAGCTAGCTAGCTATATGTAGAAGAATGAAACTGGACCCCTACCTTTCACTACATACAAAAATCAACTCAAGATGGATTAAATATTTAAATTTAAGACTTCAAACTATAAGAATCCTAGCTAGAAAAAAAAAGGAGGAAATACCATTCTGGACATCTGCTTTGGGAAAGAATTTATGACTAAGCTATCAAAAGCAATTGCAACAAAAAAAATTGGTAAGTGAGATAATTGATAATTAATCTAAAGAGCTTCTGTAAAACAAAAGACTCCACAGGCAACTCACAGAATAGAAGAAAATATTTGCAAACTATGTATCCTTATAGATTCTAGATATTAGACAAAGGTCTTTATCCTAACTTTGTCTAATATCCGGAATCTGTAAGAAACTTAAAACAACTCAACAAGCAAAAAACAAATAACCCCATTAAAAATTGGGCAAAAGACATGAAAAGGTATTTCTCAAAAGAAGACATATAAGCAGCCAACAAACATATGAAGAACTGCTCAACATCACTAATCATCAGAGAAATGCAAATCAAAAACACAATGACATACAATCTCCTACCAGTCAGAATGGTTATTACTAAAAAGTCAAAAAACAACAGATGCTAGAGAAGTTGTAGACAAAGGGGAATGTTTATACATTGTTGGTGGGGATGTAAATTAGTTCAGGCACAGTGGAAAGCAGTTTGGAGATTTCTCAAAGAACTTAAAACTACCATCCAACCCAGCAATCCCATTACTGGGTATATAGCCAAAAGAAAATAAATCATTCTACCAAAAATACACATGCGTTTGCACGTTCATCACAGCACTATTCACAACAGCAAATACATGGAATCAACCGAGGTGCCCATCAATGTGTACCTGATAAAATGGATAAAGAAAACATAGTACATATATACTATGGAATACTATGCAGCCGCAGAAAAAAATAAAATCATGTCCCTGAAGCAACATAGATGCAACTGGAGGCCATTATTCTAAGTGAATTAACAAATTAGCAGAAAATCAAATACTGCATGTTCTCACTTATAAGTGGAGGCTGAACACTAGGTAATCACGGGCATAAAGATAGCAACTACAAACACTGGGGACTAACAGAGAGGAGAGGGAGGGAACACAGCAAGGGCTAAAAAGCTAATTGCTGGGTACTATGCCCACTATCTAGGTGATGAGATCATTCGTATCCCAAACCTCAGCATCACACAATATACCTATGTAACAAACCTGCCTGTGTACCCTCTGAATCTGAAATAAAAGTTGAAATTATAAAAAATAAAATAAAATCATAAATCTAATTAAATTATGTATATGCTATTGTGTAAAGATTTTAAAAACCGGACCTCAGTTTTTGTGAAGATTTTGAAAACAGCAGACATTCCCAAACTTTTCTTGTCAGCAAAGAAAATTTAATACTTAGCATAATAAATATGCTAAGCATGATGTTGTTATATGACCGTAAGAATTTTTAAAATTCTCATATTCCAGAAAATTTTTAAAAATTTTAAATTTCTGGAATATATCTTGGTGGGAAGATCATCATCAAGAGGGAAAAGACTATAGGCAAAAACTATATACAACACAAATGGTAAATTAAAGAGTCTACAGATCCTTCAGAAATTCCAAAGGCTAGACAACTAAAATCTTCCTGGTTTATATGAGGTAAATGTTTCACCTACTGTCAATTTCAGAAAGAAGTAAACACCATTAACTGAAAAGAGACTAAGTCAAGAAAGAAATCTTCTTAACTTTGTTTTTAATCAATGCGTTACTTTGAATGACAATATCAAAGTATCAGAAAGAATAAAGAATCAATTCCTTTAAAGCTTACTGGTGAAAAAATGACAGACAATTCACTGAAAGCAAAGTAATTTATGGGGTTGGAAACATGTATAGTTACATGATAAACATACCTACATACCCTTTCAGCTGATTTTTCAGAACAATTCAGAGAGAAGAAATAAAAAGAACAAAGCAAAACAAAACAAGAGCTCAGAGCTCCAGGCAATAAGAAAACAGACCTGATAGGAGACAGACATTAAGGTGCAGTTTAATCTATTTAATCTAAATATTAATTAAACACTAATTTTTTTTTCGAGACAGACTCTCTCTCTCTCCCCCAGACTGGAGCGCAGTGGTGTAATCTCGGCTCACTACACCCTCCACCTCCTGGGTTCAAGGGATTCTCCTGCCTCAGCCTCCTGAGTAGTTGGGACTACAGGCACCCGCTACCATTCTTGGCTAATTTTTGTATTTTCAGTACAGTCAGGGTTTCACCATGTTGGCCAGGCTGGTCTCAAACTCCTGACCTCAGGCAATCTTCCTGCCTTAGCCTCCCAAAATTCTGGGATTACAGGCGTGAGCCACTGTGATGGCTTAAACACTAACAATTGAAACTTATGGAACTACAAGTCATAAACTGAATTAGGATAGTCCTTAGAAGGTATGATGTAGTAGATGGGAGATCAGAAGTCAGAGGGTCTGGGTCCACGCCCTGATTCTCCCAGGAAACAGACTCTAAATCTTTGACAAGGCACTTAAACATTCAGGGTCTGGACTCTTAATCTAAAAAACGTACGTCTGAACAGATGATTTTGGGGATTCCTCTTAACTGTAAGATTTATCGACTCATTATTTATAATAGATGCCTTAAATTGGCACTTAATGAATGTTTGTTTCTTCTACTTCCTACTCTGACTTAAATGTTTGAAGGTTTGTAACAAGAAAGCAAAAATAAGAAAATATGTACAGTGCTGTTTAAATAAACGGTGGATTGCCAGGCAGGCACAATGGCTCACAGTGTAATCCAGCACTTTGGGATGCTAAGGCAGGATGATCACTTAAGGTTGGGAGTTTGAGACCCACTTGGGCAACATAGCCAAACCCCATGTCTTAAAACAATTTTTCTTTTGAATTAGCTGGGCATGGTGAATTCACCTGCAGTCACAGCTATCTGGTAGGCTAAAACAGGAAAATCACTGAAGGCTGGGAGTTTAAGGTTACAGTGAGCTGTGATCACACCGCTGTACTCCAGCCTGGGTGATGGAGCAAGGCCTGGCCTCAATCAATCAATAAACAAGCAAACAAACAAACTTTGTATGATCTATTAGAAGGAAGTTTATAAAAAGCCTAGATTTTCTCTCTTTCCTTTTTTTTTTTTTTTTTTTTTTTTTTGAGACAGAGTCTCTGTCTGTTGCCCAGGCCCGAGTACAGTGGTGCGATCTCGGCTCACAGCAACCTCCACCTCCTGGATTCAAGCAATTCTTTTGTCTCAACTTCCCTAGTAGTTGGGATTACAGGTGCATGCCACCATGCCCAGATGATTTTGGTATTTTCAGTAGAGATGGGGTTTCGCCATATTAGCCAGGCTGTTCTCAAACTCCTGACCTCAAGTGATCTGCCCACCGTGGCCTCCTAAAGTGCTAGGATAACAGACATGAGCCACTTCACCTGACCAAAAAAGCCTAGGTATTTTTTTTTAATTGCCTAGCCTACCGTGATTTGTGTTTCATCACATGAAGGTAGCACCGTGAAGAGTTTATCTGGTGTTTGGTGGAGAAATTTTAAAGTCCCTAAATAATAAACATTTCTGGTACAAAACCGTCACTTAGAGTAAAAATGCCACCTGAACACCAACTTCTCTGGCAAAGCTGAATGTGGAAGGGTTGTCACAGAGAAACCTTTAGCAAGTTATGTTGCTATTAACATAATAAAGTGTAACCTGTTTTGAAATAAACCTATTTAAATAATCACATAATTAACAAAATATACACCTCAAAGGCTTAATACACAAAATAACCATCTAATAATGTGATTAAGTCTAAACAAGTCTTACATCCTAGAAAGGTGAAACTGCTCAAGTCCCTATAGGAAAGGACAGCCCTATCATTCAACTTGCCAATAAACCTGCTTTAGTGACAGATCTTATGTTCCTGCTCAGATAAATTAGTAGCTGGGCATTGCATTGTTAGTAATAGACACTTAATAACCAGGTTTATAAATCAACTTATATTTAGTCTTATTTGCCACTTAAAAAAAACCATACATTTCACAACCTGATTTACATTTGAGTCAAGAATTACGCCTCCTAGGAAATAGAAAGTTTAAACTCATGATCTTAGTGCAAAGGCTAATGGATAATCTTACCTGATGAAATAAGTATGCTCAAGCTTTCTATCTTGCCATACTGAGCAGCCACAAACAAAGGTGTGATGCCAAAGTCATCCTGGCATTCCTTGTTTGCTCCTTTTTTAAGAAGCAATTTTATGATCTCAGTATTTTCCTAAAGCACAGATTCACATTTTAAATAAGAAAAAACAAAGAAAACAGAAGGTATCTTTTTTCTTATTGTGTTTTCTGTTTTTCTTTTTTATCCTCTCACTAAACGATAACTTCAAGAAAAAAAACAAAACTGTGTACTGCTGTATTAGTTGGAAATAAAGTGGTCAAACAATCAGATTATCCCATACTTCTAGTTAACCCAATAAATATAAACATGAAATACTGATCTCTAGAAATTATAATCCTTATAAAATCCTGCAAAATTAGCTTCCTAACCCAAGCACTAAGGAGCCATCACGATTTCTAAACACACTATTATAAATAAAATAAGCCATTGCTCTTTATCAATTTATATCTCAAATATTCTGATGGTTTCTTAAATATGCCATCAACATTTTTAAAATGTAGATAATTCCTATAGCCCAAAGCTGCTACAGCTACTACAGAAGTTGGCTTATTCGGAATCATCATTAGCATTTAGACTGCCTTTTCTGTACTGCACTAACCATCATAAATCACAGGCAAGCAGAAAGCAAAAACTGCATAGGACTGTCATTTTAAGAGAGTAAAACACACAATTTACATGGAAATGAAATAATAAATTCAGAGGTTACCTGAAAAGAAGCCTGGTGCAAGGAGTTCCATCCACACATAGAATGGGATCCATTAACATTTGCTCCATGTCGAAGCAACAGCCTTAACACATCTATCTGTCCATTTTCAACAGCTGCAATATAGCAGTCAGAAAAATTAATGTCAGCAAAAAGACATGTTTGTAGGACTGGACACTTTGGTGATGTTCTCATCACTTATTCACCTCATAACCACAATGCCGTGATTATTCCTAAACATTTATCACAATTGTCTTAGCCCAAATCCATTAACATATATCTAATTCTTTCTGAACACATACAAAATTATTTTCAACAGCATGTTAAAAGACACAAAGGAACTGGAAACAAGAACCAAACGTTTATTCTCTCTGATCATGGAAACAGCATAGCTCTAGTTTGTTAAAATAAAATGGGGAAGATATAAGGTGAACATTTCAGAATCAACAGTACCACTCTGGAAAAGCAATCTCAAAAGGATTGAAAGGTTTGTTGTTATTACATTTGCTCTCAATATAAAGTCACTGACAAAATAAAAAAGCAAGTTCTGCATCTTAGATTTTTTTTAACATTATAAACCGTAACTGTTGTCAGAATGTTCTTATATCCACCAATGAAAATAGAGTAAATATACCTGCTTATGTGACCTAAAAGGGGATTCCAGAAAACTAAAAAATGTTAAAGAGATGCCGATTATTTGCATAAAACTTTGCTGTGAAGATGGCACTAATTCTGGAGGAATTTAAGCACAGAGTTAATGAAAAACAGAATTGCCAGAACAGAATTATAAAGTGCTATATAAAACAAGTACAAACACACACACACACACACACACACACACACACACACACGCACACCATTAGCAAATTAAGTATACTGTGAATGTTGTAGATGTGAGGCTGAGTGACTTCTTTAATTTTAAGTTTAGAAACTTAACATTGAGAAATAGTATTTATAAAAATGGAAGGTAAGATGTGTATAAGAAGGTCTGGCTTAACGTGCTTGGATACGGGAAAGAAGATTTAGTTTGATTTCATGTCTTGGCTACTGTGAACGCTGCTGCAATAAACATATGTGTGTGTGTGTCTATCTTTACGGTAGAATGATTCAATTCCTTTTGGTATATACCCAGTAACGGGATTACTGGGTCAAATGGCAGTTGTTTTTAGTTCTCTGAGGAATTGCCATGCTGCTTTCCACAATGGTTGAATTAATGTACACTCCCACCAACAGTGTATACATGTTCCTTTTCCTTCTCGACCTCGCCAGCACCTCTTATTTTTTTGCTTTTTAATATTAGCCATTCTGACTGCTGTGAGGTGGCATCTCATTGTGGTTTTGATTCACAGGAAAAAATGATTTGAAAAACAAGATTTTTTTTTTTTTTTTTTTCATTTCAATCATATAGTTATTCTGTATCTCCTCTATAATAGGAGACAGGAACTGGGAATCAACAATTCTCAGTAACAAAATTAGAAAGGCACCTTTGAATAACAGATCACATTAGAAAATGCTAATATAGATGAAACAATGGGAATATAAAAATCCTTAAAAGTATAAAACAAGAAATGGTAAGTGTGCTCATTATTACTGAAGATGAGTAACATGCTATTGATTTTCTACTAGTTTTATATATTGAATTTATACCAAAGTTTATTTCCCCTATAAGACTCTGAGAAGTTCTTTAATAAAAAATTATCTTACTCCAAAGGGTTTCAGAAATGTAACCAATGGCTGTGATAGTACCACTGAGGTAGGAATATAACATAATTAAGTTAATATTCAAGGGCATTTACCATGGAAAGAACAGTTTTTCAAGCTAAGTTATTTTTGTATAATTGTTCTAAAGTCAATCTAATTTTGGGTGGCTCTCATGTACCCCATAAATATATACACTGACCATACCGTACTCACAACAGTTTTTTTTTTCTTTCTTTTTTTTTTTTTTTTGAGACAGAGTCTAGCTCTGTCACCCAGGCTGGAGTTCAGTGGCACAATCTCAGTTCACCACAACCTTCACCTCCTGGGTTCAAGCGATTCTCCCATCACAGTCTCCCAAGTAGCTGGGATTACAGGCACCCGTCATCATGCTTGGCTAATTTTTGTATTTTTGTAGAGACGGTGTTTTACTATGTTGGCCATGCTGGTCTTTAACTCCTGACCTCAGGTGATCTGCCTGCCTCAGCCTCCCAAAGTGCTGGGAAGGTGTGAGCCACCACACTCAGCCCCACAACAGTTTCAAAAAAATTTTTTTAAGTTTAAAAAAAAAGAAAAAGAAATTACAGATGAAATTACCATATAAAACAATAAATAAAGTCTGAAAATATCAGTAATAATTTTGGGTGGAGGTCATAATAGAATAGGAAGAAAATCTGTTTCATATCCAATTCATACATCATTATCAGTGATTGTCAGCAAAAATCATCTATAGCCAGACTCTGACTTGAAGATTACCAGGTTGTCAGCAGTGGTATAACAAGGAGAGTGAAGATAAGTTTGTCTTCCACAAGTTAGGCTGACCTTATAAAAACGAAAGTCAAAAAAAACCGTTTTGATTATCAAATACAATATAGACGACAGAAAAATTATTTTCATTTTTCTACCTCATGATGCAATAGTATGTTTTCACTTTTAATATCATAAATACAGTAAGAAATCGGATTTCTGCAACTCTATTAAAAACATTTCCCAATGACAACAGTAAAACCTACATACACATGGGCAGAGAAATATTATTTTCACAGCCCTTCCTAATTATTTCAAAATAAAGCAAATTAAATAGTTATCAATTGAGAAATTTTGCTTTAGAAAAGTGTATTTAATTTTGATAATTAAATTGGAATTATCAAGTTGGATAGGCTGGGGAGGAGACCTATAATTGTGCTGAATGGTTTGCTTCCAAAAAGATGGTCATTACTTTATACAGGCATACTTTCTCAAGCCTACTGAGAAAACCAAGTGTAAGAGCATGTTTAGAAACTACCTAGCACCTAAAATAGACTTCGCAATCTTTTCCAAGAACAGAGGCAACAACTCAAGTATCTATAAACATTAAGTACTTGTGAATTCCATGGGGACAGTTGGAATACAGATCAAAGGGGAAGGATTGAGGATACCAAAGTATTAAAAGAGTGCTTCTGTCTTGAGAGCTACCTAGACATAAAGAGAAATAATAAACATGTCAGCAACAGCAAATTAACCCTACCTTGAATCAATGATACTAAAAGGAATGAACTACACAATGATATTTTACATTATATTCTGTGTAGAAACTTGATTCACTTTTTCTTTTTTACGCATCTCATGAGAAGAAGCAGGCTTCCTCCTTTTTAGAGTTTCATCTGTGTCCTACCACTCAATTCATACCTTCTCCACTTTTTTTTTTTAGGTGGACTCTCACTCTGACGCCTAAGTTAGAGTGCAATGGTGCTATTTCGGCTCATAGCAACCTGTGTCTCCCGCATTCAAGCAATTCTGCCTCAGCCTCCCAAGTAACTAGGACTACAGGCATGTACCACCATGCCTAGGTAATTTTTATATTTTTAGTAGAGACAGGGTTTCACCATTTTGGCCAGGCTCGTCTTGAACTCCTGACCTCAAATAATGTGCCTGCCTTGGCCTCCCACCTTCTCCACTTCGGAGTTTGCTCCTTATATTGTCTCTTCTCCTATTTTTCTCATCATTCCTTCCCTATCGGGTTCTACTGTTCAACCTGCAATCTGGTTTAGGTTTTCCTTTCCCTAAAGTTAAAAAAAACAAACAAAAATCTTCCAATATACTATTTTATCTTGCTTTCTTTTTTTTACCCCTAAACTTCCCCCATAACTACTCCTGAGTCTACTTTCAATGATTCTATTTTCTCACAAATCACTCATTCATTCAGTCATTCAACAAATGTCTACTAAGCGCCTGTTATATACCAGGTAATATTCTAAGGTAGTACAGATACAGAAGTGGATGAGAGACAAAATTATCTGCCTCCATAGGTCTTTTAATATTTAATCAATAACTATCATGCAAATTCTACTGCCATAATTCATGTGAAGCTACTCCCTTGAAAATCATCATCAAATTCAATGGTCTTTTGCTCAACTTTGAAACTCCTATTCAGTTCCTACTGTCTTTGATATTAAATTCCCCATATTTCTCTGATATAAAGTTTTTTTTTTCTCCATGTCAACAGCACTGTTGTAGCGTCACAACTTTCTCTAACAACTCATCCTTCGCGATTTACTTTTTTTATCCTACTATTCCAAAAATGTGATGACTCACCAGGATTCTGTCTTCAACTTTTATTTTTTATTCCTTTACTTTTACTTTATACATGTTTCTCTCTCTCTCTCTCTCTCTCTCTCTCTTGCGCGCGTGCAGGCGTGTGGTTCTCCTGCCTCAGCCTCCCTAGTCGCTGTGATTACAGACATGAGCCACTACCATCCAGCTAATTTTTGTATTTTCACTAGAGATAGGGTTTCACCTTGTTAGCCAGTCTAGTCTCAAACTCAAGTGATCGGCCCGCCTTGGGCTCCCAAAGTGCTGAGATTACAGACATGAGCCACCATGCCTGGCCTATACACGTTCTCTATTAGTGAATTTGCTCCATTCTGAAACATTAACTCTAGGTTAATGATTTCTCCTAACTAAACTTTCCCTCATGGTCCAGAACTAAATTTCCAAATATCTGCCAAATATTTCCATCCAGACATTCTATGAGCCCCCTTACAATTAACATGCTTAACACAGAACTGGAGGGATAAATGTAATAAAACATGCAAAATCTCTATATTGAAAACTACAAAATACTACTGGGAAAAGCAAAGATATACATTTAAAAAAAAAAAGAAGAAGAATATACCATGTTCATGAATATAAAGATTCACTATTGCAAAAATATCAATTCTCTCCCAAAACAATGTAAAAATTCAATGTGAGCCCAGTCAAAATACCCAAAGGTGCTACGGGTATTGTTTTAATAGTTGGAAATAAACAAAAACAAAAACTGATTTATACAAATGGTAATGTAAGGCACCAGATAAACCCAAAACAATCATGTAGAATAAAGCCAAGAGGACTCATACTCCAGATATCAAAACTAATAAAGCTGGAATAATTAAGGTAG